ATTGAAAAGTTAAAAAACTGTGCATCAGACCATACTGTCTGCATAAAAGTTTAAATTCAAGAGTCCTTTTGCATTCAAACTTCTAGTATTATGTCATAATAGCATAGAAAAGAGCAAAAAGTTACAAATTTCCATTTCTTATAGCTTCTGTATGCATTTTTATATGTGAATATGTGCTACGGCCTAAATGACTCTAAATAATTATAAGTCTTACATGGCCAAAGACCATTTTATACTCATGTGGTATGCTATTGTAACTTTTCTTTCCATTTAAAGTTCATTAGATATATATGGAAGAATAATTTAAGGTTAAAAAACTTTAAAAAATTCAAATTGGTTGAAAAAAATTAATCTTTATATAAGGCCCCCCTTAATTCGAAAATCTCTATTTTCAGGCACAGGCTCATATAAATTTGACTTTTGAATAATTGTTATAAATCTGATAAACCAAATGAGTGTTCAGTTGATTTTAATACATAATATATTATATTTAAGGGCCTTTAAAAAGCAAATGTTTGCAATATTTAAATTTTTTAGGCCCAAATCTTGATAGTTGAAATCATTTGATTTAAACGTCAAAATTAAACATCCAACTTTCAATATTAAAATGGCTCTAGTTTCTATAATATAATTCCTATGGCCATGAAACTTGGCCAACTATCTTATAATTGTCTAAGCTTTGTCCATGCAAAGTTTCATAAGATTTGGTCAAGTCTTTATGTCCTATTAAGAGATGAATTCAGTAAATGTAGATTCTGTACTTTGGCAACTTCCCTGAATGGTTTGCTGGTTTAAATTTGTCAAACTCAATAAAAGTAAAGGTATTACATCTTTATTTGATAGAAATTCTGTTAAAATGTCACATTTTGGCGTTATATGGCTAAAATAAGAATTTTAAAGTAATTTCCATTTGTATGCCTAAGAGGCAAGCTGACCTTCTCCGTGACAGGTTTTTATGTTTTTATATTTGTGTTTTTATGCTTAATTCAAATTTAATTAACCATTTGTGAACTCTGAATCTAGAGAAAAGTAGATTATCACAGAAAAATTGTGCAAAATGTGTTGTATTTATGGCCCTGGTCAAACGGCCTGTTTGATGCGTGTGAAATGTGAAGAGCTTTGTACATAAAATTTGAAGTCCATCATAAATATTTCACTAATTCTATAAAAAAGCACTTTACAATGATCAGTGTACCTTATTCATTTCATATACAACCTTCAGTTTCTTCTGTAGGATAGTAAGTGGTCCAAATATATGCCATTTGAGACTAAAATTACATGAAACTTTTCCATTGAAAAGTTAAAAAACTGTGCATCAGACCATACTGTCTGCATAAAAGTTTAAATTCAAGAGTCCTTTTGCATTCAAACTTCTAGTATTATGTCATAATAGCATAGAAAAGAGCAAAAAGTTACAAATTTCCATTTCTTATAGCTTCTGTATGCATTTTTATATGTGAATATGTGCTACGGCCTAAATGACTCTAAATAATTATAAGTCTTACATGGCCAAAGACCATTTTATACTCATGTGGTATGCTTTTTGTAACTTTTCTTTCCATTTAAAGTTCATTAGATATATATGGAAGAATAATTTAAGGTTAAAAAACTTTAAAAAATTCAAATTGGTTGAAAAAAATTAATCTTTATATAAGGCCCCCCTTAATTCGAAAATCTCTATTTTCAGGCACAGGCTCATATAAATTTGACTTTTGAATAATTGTTATAAATCTGATAAACCAAATGAGTGTTCAGTTGATTTTAATACATAATATATTATATTTAAGGGCCTTTAAAAAGCAAATGTTTGCAATATTTAAATTTTTTAGGCCCAAATCTTGATAGTTGAAATCATTTGATTTAAACGTCAAAATTAAACATCCAACTTTCAATATTAAAATGGCTCTAGTTTCTATAATATAATTCCTATGGCCATGAAACTTGGCCAACTATCTTATAATTGTCTAAGCTTTGTCCATGCAAAGTTTCATAAGATTTGGTCAAGTCGTTATGTCCTATTAGGTCCAAGGACACAGTTATCGTCCTTTGGTTTTCGTTGTCTACGAATATAGTCCCTAGTGTAAACAGTGTATAACTTGCAATTTTTTTTCATATACTTTCCCAATTTATTTCTTGATATTTGATGCATGAAATATTAAGTAAGGGGATGAAATTACATGTTAAAAAAATTTGGGTGCTGAATCTTTATGTTAAGTAGTGATTAGGTCTAGGTAAAAAAGGTCAAAAATTAGTATGTCTGAAACTGTCAAACTGAATTTAAGACAACCTTAACATAGAATTGTCAATATTTTGAGTTAGAGCTGGTAGACTTTTCTATAATTTTGATATTATTTGTCCCAATAGTAGTACACTACACTGTAAAAATCTTTTTGAGATAGAGCAGGTGCGATTTTTTTAATTTGAATTTATTGTCTAAAAGAAATGCACTACGAAATAACTGTGTTCTCGGGCCATGCTGGTGACTGCTGAAACTATGTGATCATTAAGGCAGTTTTGACTGTAAATATTTATAGGATTCTTGAATAAAGAAATCACTTACCATTACCATAAATTTGTTAATTTTGAGTTCTCTTTAGCGCAAGGCCAACTTTAAAAAATGCATAAGATTTCCGAAACTTTTTGGTCAAAACTAATCAGAATGTCTGCTACTTTCTTTTCCAATGTGGGTAACTTTTGTTTTCAAAATTGTAAGATTGATAATTTCAAAAATTAAAGAACAATAAACACTATCAAACCACTTATTTATTGCCTAGTTTTATACTATTACGATGTGCATCAAAATAACAAAGAGAAAAGAGAATATAAAAAATCAGACCTGAGTTTAAAGGATTTACTGTTATTTTAAAAAAAAAATTATTTCCGATTTTTGGATACTATTTTGATAGATAAATCCAGTAAACCTGGTTAGCAGCATCCAAAGTATACTTTGCAGAGTGTTTACATAAAACGGGATCTGATGGTACGGCGAAATTTATCTTACTTTCTTCTGGCTTTATAGATTGTTCACTGTTGAGTCCTTGGCCTTTGTAGCCGCGGACAAAATTGATACCCTTTCTTTTAAATAATTTCCGAATTGTTAGTCAAAAAAGTATGGTCTCTTCACTATACCTAGCATTATGTATTGTAGACTGTGAAAAAAAATTGCCAACATCTAAGAGTAAATGGAAGGCTATATTGTTGAACAGGTGTCCGGTTTATTACAGCAATTAAGGTAGATTTAAAATCTTCTAAACATATTTCATTGACCTCAGGGATTCAATAACATCTGGTATCAAAGAATAATAACTTCTTCAGGGACTGCATGAGCTTCATCTATGTATTCCGCTCAGGATTGACATCTGAACTTGTTCTCTTAAAGGTGATTATTATTAATGTATGGTTTAAAGCCTTTAGTAATTTGATCTGAAATTTGTAATATCTGCAGTGGGAAGTGGTGAGATTTATAAGCTGCATGTCCTGATTTTTCGTCCAAAAATTGTTTTCTTAATACTTAATAAATTTTGTTGTTCTATTGTGTTGGCTGATTGAGTGATAAAGTATGGTATCTATGTCACTAGATGTATAATGGCAGAGAGAATAATAACACATGTAATTAAAAAAAAGAGTCAAGTTTATTAGCTGGGTATAATACCAGAAATCATGGTATTCACAAAAGAATTATAGTAGAAATCTACTTTATTTCTGATTATACATGTTATATGTTCGATGCAATCTCTATAATAATGTTTAATTATTTCATCCATGAATATCGATTCTTTGAAAGTTACGGCAGGGACTATTATACTATAATATATTATGTCCAAGGTTACAGAAATCATGTTTAAGTTATCGGACATCCCTATTGGTATAATGAAAAAAGTTACGGACAAGTTGTTTTCAAGTTATCGGACATCCTATGTTATTTCGCAAATCGTGCTGTGATTGTTTATTTTGTAGTATTTAATCACCTTTTACGTTTATGAGTTTTCCTAAAAGATTGATCGTGTTGATACAACTTTTTATTTCCTGAACATTTGTGTTGTATTCATGGTATTGTTATTATATAGGAGAGAAGTTTCTAACGGACGCCAGGCGGCTCCATCTTGGGCTGTGGGTAACTTACGCAGTTTAAGCACAGTGAAAAGGGATAACTTAAGAATTTGTTTTACTTTTTCTCGTCAAGGTCGTTGCCTTGTTTCCAGCGGCAGCGTTGACAATTTCTTAAATTTTGTGATTAGGTTAATAGTTGATATTTGGTATGCAGAGGTATTAGCATTGACACTTATATAAAATCCATGTACATAATTGTCTGTTAGGGGTCACTTGACAATTTGACCTTATTTCATGTTTAAACAAGGAATTATTTGAATCTGAAATGATTTTGAATTCTGGAAAATTGATAAGAAATTAATGTATGATGAAAACTAACCCAACTAAATAGGGTTAGCCATGCGTGCATGGCTAAGGCACGCATGGCTAAGGGGGGTCAGTAAGTTCATACTGAAATATCGGTGAAAGTAAAATTAACCTTAGCCATGCGCGCTTGGCTAACCCTATTTAGTTGGGTTAGTTTTCATTATACATTGATTATCAATTTTCCAGAATTCAAAATTATTCCAGATTCAAATAATTCCTTGTTTTTATTTGTTAATGTAAGGTTTTCATGTAACTTTTAGTACAGATCTCTTTTTATTATATTATAAAAATGTACTGCCTATGTTTGTACATGATCAAAATGTGATGTATTCAAAACAAGGACACCTCATAGGCACACCAAACTTGAGTTTTGGATATTCTTGGAGAAGGTTCATCCAGAATAGAGCTTCAAACATGAAGGGAAAAATGTTTGGTTCACTGGGGTCATCCTTGTTCTTGTAGTGTTTTAAAGTTATGCCTCCATGCCTTACATACACATTATTTAGTAAATACTCTAAAACGTACATGTACATCTGATATAAAAAAAAAAAACATGAATTTTACAGCATAAGTAATAGAATGGATACGGAACATATTGCTTGGATGGAAAAGACCTTTGACCTTGCAGAAGAAGCATTAAAATCAGGAGAGGTTCCAGTAGGATGTATGCTAGTGTATGATGGCAAGGAAATTGCTGTAGGCAGGAACGAAGTGAATGAAACCAAAAATGCCACAAGACATGCTGAAATAGTTGCCATTGATAAAGTTTTGAAATTTTCAGAAGAAAATGAATTGGATTCAAAAGCAGTTTTTAGACAGTGTGTACTGTATGTTACAGTTGAACCCTGTATTATGTGTGCTGGAGCACTTAGACAAGTGGAAATCCCCTTAATTATTTATGGATGTGCTAACGATAGATTTGGTGGATGTGGATCCATTTTGCCTGTTCATAGTGCTGAGTTACCTTCCCTTGGACCATCATTACAGTGCATAAGTAATGTGATGGCTGAACGAGCAATACAGTTACTCAAAGATTTTTACAAGGGGGAAAATCTGAATGCCCCAGAAAATAAACGTAAAGTTAAAAACTGTTAAACAATAAAGTAGATTAATATTTTAACAATAGTGTGCTATGCTGTAAATGCATTTACATGTATTCTTAAGTATTGAAAATATATTTTTTTATTTGTAGACAATTAAGAGGAGAAATCCTTCCAAATCTGATATTGAAATGTTTGGTATATGCACATTTTACATAACATTAGTGTGACACACAGTGTCAGGAATACTTTATACTTATTGTTGAAATAATTGAAGAATAGAATTGTGTCGAAATGGCCTTAAGAGCAATTAGACTGCTAGTAAGTAAAGGAAAGACTAACTTAGCTAGAATAAATGACATTACAAATCCAACATCGACAGTAAAACGTGAAAGACTAGTTATTCTTGGAACAGGTTGGGGAAGTTACAGTGTATTGAAGACAATAGACAAAAACAAATTTGATGTGATAGTTGTCAGTCCAAGGAACCACTTCCTGTTTACACCATTGTTATGTAGTACAACTGTTGGGACTCTAGAATTTAGGTATGTTTTGACAATGTCTTAAGGTCAACAGTTACAATGGGTTTTGTCACAGATTTTTCTAAAATTTTGCATACACTTTTGGCATGTTGAACTATAACTGAAAATCGAGAAAAAAAATGCATTTATCTCTTTTATTATCTGAAATATTACTGATTGAATTATTTCAAGATAGGTGAACACTTGTACAGAAAGCACACAAAATCTGCAAAAAACCTTCTTAAATTTGTCTTAAAATCATCAAATCTCTAATTTCTAATACATAGGTTTTTCTTAAAAAACGATATGTTGTTGATACATAAATTTCTGTTTTAATGATATAAAGTAATCATATGGTCACCGACTTTGTTTTTTGTCTAATAATCAATCTGTTACCTACATGTAGTTGGTACTGAAAAATGTCTAAAATTAATGTTTTATTGCCTGCAACGCGATGATGTTACGATTATTTCGAAGTTTTATAGTATTTTTTCACATAGAACACCCCTTTGAATGATGTATACTGTAAAAACGAAGTGAGTGACCCTATCATTCATTAAAACAAAAATTTAAGAAGGTTTTTTGCAGATTTTATGTGCTTTCTATACAAATGTGCACCTATTTTGAAAGAATTCAATCAGTAATATTTCAGATGATAAAAGAGATAAATGCATTAGTTTTTTGCTTTTCAGTTAAAGTTCAACGAGCCAAAGTTGTATGCAAAATTTTACTGTGACATAGTCCATTTACTCTAACTTGACCTTAAAGTTTGATAGTAAACAACTAATTTGTGAGAAGGGAGATAACCATATATATCATGTATATATTATCGATATTTATACCATTAAAATACAATTACAGTACAAATGTAGTAGGTGGACACTTTAACAATTACAGTAGTAGGTTGACACTTCAATAATTACAGTAGTAGGCTGACACTTCAACAATTACAGTAGTAGGTGGACACTTCAACAATTACAGTAGTAGGTTGACACTTCAACAAAATATTCTGCATACAAGGCTACAGGAAATTTGTATTTCGTTGAACATTTAAATGTTTGTTTCACTAATTATAAATGCAATGAAATTCCCAAAAGCTGCTTGCCACAAATAACTTATGAGTATAAATTGTAAAATAGAACAAGATCAATAATACCAGTATCTTAGAAATGTTAACTGAAAAAAACAATTTGATAGAAGAATCACAAAAGTTTATAAAAAAATGTATATAAATACAGAATACATTTGAACCTACTTTTGTACAAGCTCCAGGTGCTTAGACACAATGATAATACAGAATTTTTTTATTTATCAATGATGACCTAGATAACTTCAAGATGATAAATAGCAATAATAGTGACTGATAATTCACAACATGCATCAGCAGGGTTTTCACAAAGATGAGTCCTGAACTCATGAAAATCTATCTGAACTCATTATTTTCTCACAATGTGAATGATGGGTTAGTCTATAGCTAAAGATACATCATCATGATCATGATTGTATCACAATAAAAAGCTCAAGTTATAAACTTAGACTTATTATATCTTGTAATGTATTACCTGTTTTGAAGCTTTAAAATCAATTTAATGGATTTAATACACAATAAGAATGTAAAGTTGATTAAATTCACAGTTGTCTTCTGTTGATCTAGTTCATATCATGTTATAATTGCAGATCTGTCATAGAACCTGTTAGGAACACAATATTTCGGCAGCCGGATCATTTCCACTTATCATTTGCTACAAAACTAGATATTGAAAACAAAAAAATACATTGTGAGAGTGTATTGAAATCTGAGCTGAAATATACAATAGACTTTGATAAACTGTTGATTGGTGTAGGAGCTTTGAGTAATACGTTTAACGTGCCTGGCGTTCAGGAACATTCCTTCTTTCTCAAGGTAAGATTTAACGTGCCTGGCGTTCAGGAACATTCCCTCTTTCTCAAGGTAAGATTTAACGTGCCTGGTGTTCAGGAACATTCCTTCTTTCTCAAGGTAAGATTTAACGTGCCTGGCGTTCAGGAACATTCCTTCTTTCTCAAGGTAAGATTTAACGTGCCTGGCGTTCAGGAACATTCCTTCTTTCTCAAGGTAAGATTTAACGTGCCTGGTGTTCAGGAACATTCCTTATTTCTCAAGGTAAGATTTAACGTGCCTGGTGTTCAGGAACATTCCTTCTTTCTCAAGGTAAGATTTAACGTGCCTGGTGTTCAGGAACATTCCTTCTTTCTCAAGGTAAGATTTAACGTGCCTGGTGTTGAGGAACATTCCTTATTTCTCAAGGTAAGATTTAACGTGCCTGGTGTTCAAGAACACTCCTTCTTTCTCAAGGTAAGATTTAACGTGTCGTGTTCAGGAACATTCCTTCTTTCTCAAGGTAAGATTTAACGTGCCTGGTGTTCAGGAACATTCCTTATTTCTCAAGGTTAGATTTAACGTGCCTGGCGTTCAAGAACACTCCTTCTTTCTCAAGGTAAGATTTAACGTGCCTGGTGTTCAGGAACATTCCTTATTTCTCAAGGTAAGATTTAACGTGCCTGGTGTTCAGGAACACTCCTTCTTTCTCAAGGTAAGATTTAACGTGTCTGGTGTTCAGGAACACTCCTTCTTTCTCAAGGTAAGATTTAACGTGCCTGGTGTTCAGGAACACTCCTTCTTTCTCAAGGTAAGATTTAACGTGTCTGGTGTTCAGGAACATTCCTTCTTTCTCAAGGTAAGATTTAACGTGCCTGGTGTTCAGGAACATTCCTTCTTTCTCAAGGTAAGATTTAACGTGCCTGGCGTTCAGGAACATTCCTTCTTTCTCAAGGTAAGATTTAACGTGCCTGGCGTTCAGGAACATTCCTTCTTTCTCAAGGTAAGATTTAACGTGCCTGGCGTTCAGGAACATTCCTTCTTTCTCAAGGTAAGATTTAACGTGCCTGGCGTTCAGGAACATTCCTTCTTTCTCAAGGTAAGATTTAACGTGCCTGGCGTTCAGGAACATTCCTTCTTTCTCAAGGTAAGATTTAACGAGCCTGGCGTTCAGGAACATTCCTTCTTTCTCAAGGTAAGATTTAACGTGCCTGGCGTTCAGGAACATTCCTTCTTTCTCAAGGTAAGATTTAACGTGCCTGGCGTTCAGGAACATTCCTTCTTTCTCAAGGTAAGATTTAACGTGCCTGGCGTTCAGGAACATTCCTTCTTTCTCAAGGTAAGATTTAACGTGCCTGGCGTTCAGGAACATTCCTTCTTTCTCAAGGTAAGATTTAACGTGCCTGGCGTTCAGGAACATTCCTTCTTTCTCAAGGTAAGATTTAACGTGCCTGGCGTTCAGGAACACTCCTTCTTTCTCAAGGTAAGATTTAACGTGCCTGGCGTTCAGGAACATTCCTTCTTTCTCAAGGTAAGATTTAACGTGCCTGGCGTTCAGGAACACTCCTTCTTTCTCAAGGTAAGATTTAACGTGCCTGGTGTTCAGGAACATTCCTTCTTTCTCAAGGTAAGATTGATTTATAACCAGTCCATCATGTTAACCTGTCTGACCATACATTCAACTCACCAGTTACACTCTGTTTGAAAATGCCATTGAAAATTATCTAATTAAATACAAGTAATCTGCACTTTACTTAACTCACCCGTTACAGATCAGCCATTTCAGCTGTACAGAGTAGATTGTGCCACTTATTACACAGTAATGGTTTTATTGTCCCATATATACGAAATTCATCTAAAAATTACTTATAACTTTAATATAAAACAAAAAATGAAAATTCATCAGGAACACACAATGGCAAATGTTTGAAAGCCAAGGATGTGTAAGAACCGAAACAGTTGAAGAGCTGTATGACCAAAAAGGAACTAAAAATAATAGCCAAATCAATCTTTGGTCAACTTTGCCTGAGGGAGTTGAAACCTTAGTTTCTTATAAAGATCTTGTTGAATCTGCGAAAATAATAAATTTTTCTGACTACAAAATATTTTATTTTTCTCAATGACTATTTTTGGATGGATTAAAATCTTTTTATTTTATCTTTTCTTAAATATAGGAAGTAGCAGATGCCAGGAGAATAAGGAACAGAATATTAAAGAATTTTGAATTGTCGGTACAGCCAGGAATAGAAGAATCAGAAGCAAATAGGCTATTACATACAGTCATTGTAGGAGGGGGACCAACCGGTGTGGAGTTTGGTGCAGAGCTTTATGACTTTGTAGAACAGGTAAAGTAAAGAGGTTACATGATCATGGACATATGATATAAACTTGAAATCTTGATCTTTATCAGCAAATGTTAAAATTGGATAGGAGTCAGATAAGGTCATGAGTAGACTGAAATCTTGAATTATGTGACTCAGGTTACTCTAAATGTATGGTACTACTATTACATTATACAAGGCTTATCCACCATTTATTCATGAGTTATTTTTAAGATTACAAACTTTGCAAAAGTTTTTATTTGAACACTGCATGTTTTCTAGGATATTTCCCGTCTGTATAAGCAGAAGAAACATCATGTAAATGTAACCCTCGTAGAATCTAATCAGATCCTCGCATCGTTTGATGAAAGTCTAAGGAAATATGCAGAGAAAAAGATCAAAGAAAGAGACAGGTTTCAACTGGTCAAATCAATAGTAACAGGTAATACTGAGTTATCGTCAATGAATATCACGTGTTACATTAATGTTTTAGTACATTACAAAAATCACCAAAAAAAACCTGGCAGTCTGTCTATTCAAATTTATATTTATCTGAGGTTCACATGACAGTCAGCAATTTTCAGAGGTCATGTCAACATGAAACAGGATTCTTTATAACAATTCCATGCATTGTTTATTGTTTCCTATGGAACCTTTGTAAATTGGATATATGATTTAGTATGTTATGAATATGTTTGAAAGTTTGAGTTATTAAGGTGGGCATAATACTATGGAAATAATGGATACATAATAATATAGTGATGTGTATTTCATAATTTAGATCACTAACAATTACTAGCTAGTTCTAATAAATATATACTACTAATGTTTAGTGTGGCCAGGATAAGGAACCAGCCAGTACTTTCTGTATCTAACTAAAAAATGTTAAAATTTTCAATAAAGTATGAAAAAAAAAAGTATGTGGACATAATTTTGCACCAAATGCTGCTTTAAGATACATACATAATTAAGTTTTGATTCAATAAGAATTTTAGTCAGTACATTTTGTTTTAGAGGTGAAAAAAGATTGTGTTATATTAAGTAATGGAGAGACAATACCATGTGGAATGGTTGTATGGAGTGGCGGTATAGCTCCCCGACAGTTTGTCAGTGATTTAGATCTGAAAAAAAATAAACAAGGACAGGTAAATACTTATAGTTATCAATAGAATGTGAGACTTGGATATATGAATACAATAAGATTTGGATATACATCATTGAGACAGCAACCCAAGGACAAATAAAAAGACATCTAGAGATCTCCATGCTGTCTACAAATAAAAAGACATCTAGAGATCTCCATGCAGTCTACAACTAAAAAGACATCTAGAGATCTCCATGCTGTCTACAACTAAAAAGACATCTAGAGATCTCCATGCTGTCTACAACTAAAAAGACATCTAGAGATCTCCATGCTGTCTACAACTAAAAAGACATCTAGAGATCTCCATGCTGTCTACAACTAAAAAGACATCTAGAGATCTCCATGCAGTCTAGAACTAAAAAGACATCTAGAGATCTCCATGCAGTCTACAACTAAAAAGACATCTAGAGATCTCCATGCAGACTACAACTAAAAAGACATCTAGAGATCTCCATACAGTCTATAACAATAAACAGGTTTCTATGTGATATTGTAACGTTTTGGGGTTTTCGAGTCAGGATACCTGTCGTTACTTATGTGGGCCTTTGGTGAAGGAAGTAATAATAAAAACCATATTGGAGTTCATAAATTGTATTATTTCTGCTTAAGCAATACAACAAATACAGTGGTTCATAAAACACATGAAAAGAGATATATCTTATAATAAATAAAGGTGCATTTGTCCCTAAAAGCTTTATAATGATTCCAACTAGCACTCGGTGCAAGAAAATCTAGTTTGCGCACAGCAAATAATTTTGCTTGGTGCAATATGATTGTTTTCTACAATTTAAAACGGCGAACGTTCTGCATTGAGGTGAAAAGACTACTCAGTGCATGCAAACCTGCTATTTATACTTTGGCTCTGCCCACAAATGATGTAATACACAAGAAACGCACAACATACAGAATGGCGCCCAAAAGTGAAAGTAGCAATGAACAGAGACGAATTTGGACAAATGCACCTGTAAATGAATATGATACATCAATTAAAGAGCATCTTTTAATAGATTTAAGTTCAGGTAAACCACTCCTTTCATAAAAATTCTGTATTAGGCGTATCCAGGGACATCTGCATGGAGAAGTGTGGAACGGAGGCCACTACTATATAGTGAAAAATGCAAGTTTTAGTTCATGACATGAGGCTATTGACCAGAGCATAACAATATGTCAAGCTCTAAATGGTCTCAAGTTAAAAACATTGTAGATAGATTTAACATAGATAATCAAAGATCTGCCATCCACACCCAAAAGTTTCCATCAACACTCAAAAGTTTCCATCAACACCCAAAATTTTCCTAACAACAACAAAATACATTACAATATAAATAAAGGGAACCATTAAGTAGGGACTGGCCTATTGACATTTTTTTTTTAACTCAACTCCATCCCTTTTAAACTGGGTTAGTATGATGTCATGAGTATAGGCATGTTAATAACTCTACTGATGGGCAATTTGGGTGATATTAAAACCATAAGTTCTAATATGATGATCTTCTTTTGCTTTGCAACGCAAATTGTATTATGAACAATGCTGAGATCAAAATGGATATTTCTGTTCGTGTTGCTGGCTAGAAAATAAAACAATATTGTTCTCAAAGTAAGTCTACATGATTTAAACACTTTTTATTTATGAAAGATTGGTTTTCTTGAACGTTTTTTTTTTCATCAAATTTAAAGGGATTCATTTCGAACATGGCTTGTAGGTCCACTTCGAGGTACAAAATTTCGGATTTTTCCTGTTAAATTCAAATTTTTTATTTCATGTCATGCTCATTTTAACATGTGAAGGGATTATAATTATCAACATTTTACACCTAACTTTAAAGATATTGACAAATATGGTGCCTACCCATTTTAAAATGAGCATAGAGTATGACATGAAAGAATTATTTCTTAAATAGCACACCCGTTCATCAGAATTTGTTTTCATTTCAGATATTGACAGATAAATACCTGCATGTTTTAGGAGATGACAGTAAGAGTGTATTTGCAATAGGAGATTGTGCTGATATACAAGACATGCCATTACCATGTACTGCTCAGGTAGTGTTGTATATTCTAGTCAGCGCTTCTGTGTTGACATGAATATCATTTATATAGTCATTTTTATAAATTTCCTGTTACAAAACTTTGAATTTTTCAGAAAAATAAGGATTTTCTTATCCCAGGAATAGATTACCTTAGCGGTATTTGGCACAACTTTTTTGGAATTTTGGGTCCTCAACGCTCTTCAACTTTGTACTTGTTTGGCTTTATAACTATTTTGATCTGAGTGTCACTGATGAGTCTTATGTAGACGAAACGCTCGTCTGGCGTATTAAATTATAATCCTGGTACCTTTGATAACTATCTTATTGACCAAGCAAAGAGATTGATATTATTACATTTGTAGTAAAGTAAATTCATATTTTTTAAATAATTTTTCCAGTTTGACTGTCATACAATATACCTGGTACATGTTACAAAATAACATGCACAAGTGATCTAGATAACTGGTCTCTTGGTAGATCTGCTCTTGAAGCAATTGACAGAAATTCTGAATTATTCAATACTGGTTAACTTAAATGATATTTCAAGCAAGAAAGCTAACAGGTTGAAATTTGAAAATTTTTAGTGTAATGTGACAGTCAAGAGAAATATTTGGTGTTTTTTAAAGCATATTTTTTAGGGTGGGGTTGTTTAGGGATCATAGATTTATTCTTACGAGGAAGCTCCGAGCATGCTCGGAGGATGCTCTGAGCTTTTTAAGTAGGCTCTTCTCAGCAGTTTAAGTGACAATAATTATCATGATCCATTAAAAGGTCAATCAAATCTATAGCACTTCTATAATAAGGAAAGTAGAGCATTATAGAGGAAGCTCAATTAACACCTGTGTAAGCATCTGATCTATTTAAATCCATTTTGCATGAAATTTTACAAAACTGTAAAATAGATGAGAAATTCTTTAATAGTACTGTACAATGCTTGGAAGGATTATCAAGTCCTCACAGAAAGAAAATGTTTTAAAAATAATTATCATTCTTTTTCAATACAAAAAAAAATAATCAAAATTGATATTTAAAATATAAATATATTTTACATTTATACTACAAAAGTCATCAAAGACGCAAACTATGGTTATTGATTTATAACCATACTACCAAAACATAGTACATTCAGTTTCATGCGAAAAAGGGTTGATTTTTTTTTATATTGCATTTAATTTGATAGTTGTTGGAAATTAACCCTCCATTTCATTTCAGAAAAGTGTTTTTGAGACGTAAACATATATCTTGGGTGTTTCAAAGCAATAAAAAAAAAATTATTTGGTATTCTATAAATATTTTGAAAATTTTAGGGGACATGGCTACTAAAGCTTGTAAACAGGTAAAAAAAGGGGGAGAGAATTTGATTTGTTAACTTCTGGTGATGTTTACTTTTTTATATGCACTGAAAAGTTATGTTGTATTGTTACTATAGTACAGGACAGGATAAAACTTTACTCATGTCAAGTAATTCTTTATTTAAAACATAGATAAATTCTGCACATTTTTTTTTAAATACCAAAGACTGATAAGGGAAACACAATTTTATGTTTGATTTTCACTAAAGTACAGGACAGGATCAAACTTTACTCATGCCAAGTATTTCTTTATTTAAAACAAAGCCAAATCCGCACAATTTATAAAATTGCCAATTAAAGAGAGACGTACTAGAGGGAAAACAGTGGTGGTATTACCCCCTCAACTTTTCCCAAAGTAGTCATATTTTCTATAAAAGAACTAAGTTTGCTATTTTATAAAAAAAAACATATTACCATTGTTTAGTTAGAGCCATTAATTAAACAAGTAATTTTCAAAATTACCTATACAAGTTATGTTGAAAACGAGGCTGTTTCAAATATTACTTCTATATCATGAATATAAGTAACTTCTGTTAATATTATTTTTATAGGTTCATTCATACAGGTTTTACTAGCTTTAACAAATTTTAACAGACATCTGGTTTGTTTTCCTCCTAAAATATAAAACTATTTAAATCCTCCTGAAACACTAATTGCCTTTCTGATGCCACACTTCTTGGTCAAAGATTGGTCTCTTGGGGCTATCAAAATATCATTTTCCCTTAAAATCTTAGAGATAGACAGATATAAATAGATGGAATTTTGTGATTTAATCAAGACTTGAAGTTATTTATAATTTGTAATCTTAATAAAAAACAATTACATATGTTCCTTAAAAAATTGTAAGTACTAAGTCTTTCAAAGATGTATAAAATAATTTATAAAAGTAATATTTTTGTCATTATTTTTAAAGTAACCTCTCTATACTCATCTCAAATTGGACAAAACTTAATTGTATTTAATGAAATGATATAAAAATTCTTAAAATCTACATTTAGTCTATTCTTCTTTTGACATTTAAAATAACTATTGAGTTATCAAATAATTTTTAAAAACAAAAATACCTATATATAAGTAACTAAAAAAAATAACTTGTTCAGTATCACCCCCTGACTGTTGTTTGTGTCTTGATAACTTTTATGTATCATATTATATAATATAAACTATATTTAAGTCATATCATCTAATTATAAAATTTGAGAGTTTTTTTTAATATAAAATAAGGAATTATTATTAAATATGATAAGTAATTATTTGAATCACTTTTACTTTTTGTGGAGATTTATTCCCAAGCATTACACAGTACTGTTGAAGAATTTTTAATCTATTTTATAGTTTTGTAAAATTTCATGCAAAATGTATTTAAATAGACCAGATGTTTACACAGGTGTTAATTGAGCTTCCTCTATAATGCTTTACTTTCTTTATTATAGAAGTGGTGTAGATTTGATTGACATCTTAATGGATCATGATAATTATTGTCACATAAACTGCTGAGAAGAGCCTACTAAAAAGCTCCGAGCATCCTCCGAGCATGCTCGGAGCTTCCTCATAAGAATAAATCTATGATCCCTTATATGTATAATTTCATATTGTTTTTATTTATCATTTTCTTTTCATTTCTATATTTGATACACTGGCTGTTCCAGCAAAGTCCTTTAAACAATTACAAAAACTTATTGAATACGTTTGAGGTAAATTCAGTTAAGTCAGGTCAAAAAGAAGATTGAATTATGTAGTTCATTTCTAAATATGTACATGACCATTAGTGTTTATTATTTTAGGTAGCAGAAAGAGAAGGCAGATACTTAGCTAAGATGTTAAATCATGGTAAAGAATTTGCTGAACCATTTGAATTCCAGAGCATGGGCATGCTGGCTTATATTGGGAAATATCAGGCCCTTACAGATGTAAAACAAATCAAAATGCAAGGTATATAAATTCATTAGCAATTGTACAAAGGGTAGGTGTTTTTTCGGATTAAATTTCACTATTTGTAATTGAAGCGCTTCTGTATGCATTAATGTTTGCTAGTTACTTGCTGTATGTTAGTCGCTTTTTCACGCTTGTTTACAGGATGTATTATGGTATACTGTTGTCTGTCTGTCGTCAACACTTCAGACAATAACTCGAAAATTCTTTCACCAATTTTCATGAAACTTTGGTGAATTGTTTATATCTATTGACATAAGATCACTTTTGATTTAATAAAAATTCTGATTTTAAATTTTGGAGTATCAGGACTTTATTCATAAAAAAGGGGGGATTTGCCCGTTTTTGGACAATTACTCAAAAACGCTTTTAGCAGTTTTCATGAAATTTTAGTGACTTGTTTATATCTATTGAAATTAGCTCCCTTTTGTCTTTTTATAACATTTTATGACATTGTGGAGTTATAGAACTTTATTCGTTGAAAAATCTTCAAAAACTATCCATTTTTCACACAATTTTATTCGTTCAAAATTTGAGGCCACAAACTTAGTTAAACTTGAGGTAGCCTTAGTGCCAAATTATTCATGTTTTGTGTCATTGGGTACCACTGTGTGTTCATGTCTTTTTTTAATTTTTTTTTTCTTGGGGGGGGGGGGGGGGGGGTTGTCTATTTGAGCAGTGTTCACAGTATTTCTAGTTGATCATATATATTCATTTAAAGCATAAAGATGAGCAAAAGGGGTGACAGGTGTATCATGCTTTATTATATTTCCTTTATTTTCTGCTAAAGTATCAAATATCTATGATAGAAATATAAGTTTTAACAAATTGTGATACAATAATTCTCTTCTGGAGACTGTTAAATAGTTAAAAAATTTAACTGTTGGGAGTGGAGAAATATTGTGTCACATGAGATACAGTATTCTCTTCTGACTTTCAGACTATATTCAGGACAATTTTATCTTTCTTTTTCAATGATATGCAAAAGAGTGTCTTCTTTTTATGTAACATATATATTTAATCAGGAATGGTCACCTTTTTGTGACATACCAATAGTGAGATCAGTGGTAAGAAAGAATGATTGAATTTTGACTAAAAAGTAATGAAATCAAGCTAACCACATGTTGTTTGTAAAAATATAATCAACCGTTCAGGAGAAAGTATAAATTAGAGAAAAGTGAATATCAAATTAAAGGGATAAGCATAGTAATGATAATAGCCAGGATACCAAATACACAGAAAGCAATTGTTGATGAATACATTTTACATAAAAAAAAAATCTGGAACAAACACTCCATTGTATTTTATGATTAAGGACTATTTTTGTTTCGTCTTCTAATGTTTGTGCACTTATAGCTTTGAAAAAGAAATACTAGAAATGTTATGACAATATGTTTTGTTCCTAGGTTTCACATCATGGATAGTATGGAGATCAGCCTATTTAACAAGGTTAGGAAGTTGGAGACTAAGGATGCAGGTTCCCATAGACTGGCTTAAAACTTTAATGTATGGAAGAGATATATCTAGATTTGATTAAAATCTGAAGACTGGTTTAACACTTTTCTATATGACTCAAATAGCTTTTAGATTTGAATATAACCTTAACAAATGGCTTATGATTTTACACTTAGGTAGAATTTTGTTAGATCTGAATGAAATCAATCGACTGAATAACCGGATTTTCGAAGGAAAAATCGGTTATTGATTTGGGGATGTATGGGGGTGGCTGCCAAACAGTGTTCGTTCATTAACATGAAAACGCTTTGATGAAATCTTTTCAAATTTAGATATGTTGTTTCCTGTGACTAAATGAAGGTCAAGTTCAATTTTCATGATTTTAACTGTTCTCGTTGTTGAGTTGTAGACCTTTCAGAAGCAAAAGTGATACTTATAATATGATTTATTTATTTTGAGTTATTTCCCTTTGAACAGAAAGGGTGTAATTAATAAGTATATGGATAGATAGTCTATCAATGATTATATCTGTTTTATTCATGCAATAATTTCCACCTTTTATCAAGATAACAAACATGTGGTAATTATCAACTAACAAAATTATAATTGGAGTGACAGATTTATTTGAAAATTTTGTGTTTCCTAAGTGTTGTTGATGATAATCTCTGTAGGACTGTATAATTATAGTTTGAAATTTACTGCTCATTATTATATATTTGTTTTACCTCATTTGGATCAAATGGCTATGTGATTTATTTCCATCACTCAGCATCTGTCATCATCGGTGTCCATACTAGTCGTAAACTTTTACACTCCTCAGAAACCACAGGATTAATTTCAACCGAAAAATTTAACTGAATAATCCTTAGAGTATCTAGTAAAAAGTTATTTTGTTTGTTTCTGTCACTCAACCAACATGGCCACCATGGTTAGAATAGAACATAAGAGTAAATGCATTTATTGTGGACAAAAATGCTCAGGAGTTATTGCCCTTAAATTATGATTCTGGACTAATTTTTTAGTTTTTGCCTTTTTTCTTGAAAACTACAACATCTACAAGTATTCAAATATGACTGAACCATAGGATGAAAATTACCATTTAATGATGATTTTTGACTAATTGTGAGTGATTGCTTATTATTTCAATTTTTAACTGGTGAGTGATTTCACCTGTGCTTTTAAATATGTTGTAGTATTGTATCTATTTTGTCACATTTTTCACTGGTTTATCTAAGTTATCAAGTAACTAGTGTTATATCTTTATGGGAAAATGTGAAAAGTCACAATTAAGAAATATATTTTGAAATTTTTATGGTCATAAATATAAGAAATATATTTTGAAATCTTTATGGTCATAAATATAAGTAACAGCTTTAAAAAACCAACTAGGAAATAATGCCATACTGTGATGATATACTTATTGTTTGTTGTTATTTATGAAAACGACTTAAATTTTATTTATTAAGTCATGGCTGACAGTTTTGATAAACTTATGATGTCTCTGCTTTTTAAATGACACAAAAATGTGCAGACTGAAATTGCAGGATCATAACATATGATTGACAATAACATGAACATATAGGTACCAATACCTGAATTTTTTTCCCCCTTTTTGGTGTTTAGTTTACCCCATTATTTCATCATGAAAAATTAAAATTAGTAACATACATTTCATTTGTGCCAAGTCAGCGAATTTTCTGTTATATTAAAAAAGGTGTACATGGTGTTCTGTTTAAATCTTACATGAAAATGTATGGGTATTTATGACAAACCTATCTTATATTTTCTTCTTTGTAGGATGACTTTAAAAATTTTATGTATTTGGGCATTCATTTTACAGTTATATTGTTGGCAGCTAGTAATATTAAAAAAAATATTAAAATATGGATCACATTTTGTAATCCTCAAGGGAGGCATTAATGTATACAGAGAAGGGAAATATTTTCCTTTAACCAAATGATGTCTGTGTTATTGTAGTTGTCATACTGACTTTGTATTACTAGTGTGATTGTCACGGATGATTGTTTAAATTTTATATTGTGTTCCTTAGAACTTACAGAGAGCTCTTGTTTAATATACATTTATATGTAAATAAAAATATAATTTTGATGTTTATCTTTATTTTACTGTTTGGGTTACATGTTGGATTTGTTTCTTGAAACAAATGAATATATTTTGTTTTAGGACAAAAGTGAGTCACTTCTGTTAGTGTTCAATCATAACAAAATCTATTGTTTTGATCTTACTTTATTTAATAATTGTTTTTTGGTTGTCCTGTTTCAGGGGTGTAGTCTTATATTGTAGAATGATGCATTGCTGTTAATGGTCATGAATGACTTTTTGAGATTTATATTTTTCTCTCTTTTACGGTTTATTGTCTTGCCGACAACAAAAGTCATAGAATGTGAGAAAAGGCATGCTAGTGCCGCAGCAGCGTAAACTATTTGTATAAAGCTTTATATTTCAGAAGGCAGAAGTACCTTGTATACAGATACCGTTTGTTATGAAGTTTTTGTCCTGTACATGTCTTTTGTCCTTGAACTCAGGGTTCAGTGAGTGTGTTTTTTTATTAAGTGAATTTTCTCGCTCATTTTGAGTAATATGATAACTATAGTTGGGTTTATATCCTGGCATGGTCTTCATGTCTGTCAGACAGGGTTTACCTGACCTTGGCCTCATTTCATGTATCAGTGATCAAGGTGTAGTTTTTGTGGTCAAGGGTGTTTCTCAGATACTATAAGCAATAGGTCAACTATATTTGGTGTATGGAATGATTAAATAAACTGCTTCGCTGAGCGCAGCTGGATACGACCACAGAGGTCCAACCCTGAACAGTTGGGGCAAAAATGGACACAATATTCAAGCTTGATACCGGTCTGAATTTGGATTGTAATTAAATATTTGACACATTATAAGTTTCTGACTCAGAATAAATGTAGTCAAAGAACTTGAAATTTATTAATTTATATTCAATAGAAAATTTCTTGCTGTTCTGCAATACACTGTGCTGTTGCGCAATACTTAGCAAATCCGTTTTCAGACTATATACAAAGAATAATCAAAATAAATTGTGACCCCCATTTTTTCTTTGGAAAATTGACAATTTCTTAAATCTTGAGGGAAAAAAAGTTGACACCTCCCCCAAAATTTTTTTTTTACCCCCCACACACACACTTTTCAAAAAAAAAATTTGAATAATTGAAGAAATTTTCTTTTTAATTTCTTAAATCTGAAAAAAAATGACCCCCCCAAAAAAAATTACCCCCCCCCCCCCCCCCTTCAAAAAATAACAGTTGAAGAAATTTTCTTTTTGCAAAATGTGGTACAACTTAAGAGACATCCATACACTTAAACAAAAGTTATTGTCTGAAAACTAGAAAAATGCTTGTTTTAGACCCTTTTTGGCCCCTAATTCCTGAACTGTTTGGGCAATTACCCCCAAAATGAATCCAAACCTTCTACTTGTGGCATTAAACCTTGTGGTACAATTTCAGAGCAATCAAAATACTTATACACAAGTTATTGTCCTGAAACTATAGAAAAATGCTTGTTTTGGGCCCCTTTTTGGCCCCTAATTCCTAACTGGTTGGGACCATCACCCCAAAAACAATCCCAACCTTCCTTTAGTTGTATTGAACCTTTTGGTTAAATTTCATAGAGATCCATACATTTAAACTAAAGTTATTGTCTGGAAACCAAATGTCTTCGGAAGACGAAGACGTTGACGACGTTGACGACAACGTGATAGCAATATACGACCCCAAAATTGTTTGCAGTCATATAAAAATCAAATATGAGCTGACACACATGAACCAACGACAATCACTGAACTAAAGGCTCCTGACTTGGGACAGGCACATAAAGAATATGACAGGGTTAAACATGGTTGTGAGCCGTCAACCCTCCCCTAAACTGGGACAGTGGTGTAACAGTACAATATAAGAACAAACTGTAAAAATCAGTTGCAATTAGATTAACTCAAAAGATCAGTACGAGACACACAATAAAATGCTTCGCTGAGAGCAGCCTAATACGACCGCAGAGGTCGAACCCTGAACAGTCTGAACACTAGAAAAATGCTTGTTTTTTGCCCTTTTTAGCTCACCTGGCCCACAGGGCCAAGTGAGCTTTTCTCATCACTTGGCGTCCGTCGTCGTCTGTCGTCGTCCATCGTCGTCGTTAACTTTTACAAAAATCTTCTCCTCTTAAACTACTTGGCCAAATTAAACCAAACTTGGCCACAATCATCATTGGGGTATCTAGTTAAAAAAATGTGTCCAGTGACCCGGCCAACCAACCAAGATGGCCGCCATGGCTAAAAATAGAACATAGGGGTAAAATGTAGATTTTGGCTTCTATCTCTGAAACCAAAGCATTTAGAGCAAATCTGACATGGGGTAAAATTGATTATAAGGTCAAGATCTATCTGCCCTGAAATTTTCAGATGAATGTGACAACCCGTTGTTGGGTTGCTGCCCCTGAATTTGTAATTTTACGGAAATTTTGCCGTTTTTAGCTCACCTGGCCCAAAGGGCCAAGTGAGCTTTTCTCATCACATGGCATCCGTCGTCCGTCGTCCGTCGTCCTGCGTCGGGCGTCCATTATCCTGCGTCCGTCATCCGTAAACTTTTACAAAAATCTTCTCCTCTGAAACTACTGTGCCAAATTTGACCAAACTTGGCCACAATCATCATTGGGGTTTCTAGTTTAAAAAATGTGTCCGGTGACCTGGCCAACCAACCAAGATGGCCGCCATGGCTAAAAATAGAACATAGGGGTAAAATGTAGATTTTGGCTTATATCTCTGAAACCAAAGCATTTACAGCAAATCTGATTGGGGTAAAATTGTTTATCAGGTCAAGATCTATCTGCCCTGAAATTTTCAGATGAATCTGACATCCCGTTGTTGGGTTGCTGCCCCTGAATTGGTAATTTTAAGAAAATTTTGCTGTTTTTGGTTATTATCTTGAATATTATTATAGATAGAGATAAACTGTAAACAGCAATAATGTTTAGCAAAGTAAGATCTACAAATAAGTCAACTTGATCAAAATGGTCAGTTGACCTCTTAAGGAGTTATTGCCCTTTATAGTCAATTTTTAACCATTTTTCGTAAATTTTTGTAATCTTTTACAAAAATCTTCTCCTCTGAATCTACTAGGACAAATTAAACCAAACTTGTCCACAATCATCATTAGGGTATTGAGTTTAAAAAATGTGTCCGATGACCTGCTCGCGAACCAAGATAGCTGACATGGCTAAAAAATAGAACATAGGGTAAAATGCAGTTTTTGGCTTATATCTCTGAAACCAAAGCATTTAGAGCAAATCTTACAAGGACAAAATTGTTCATTAGGTCAAGATCTATCTGCCCTGAAATTTTCAGACCAATCAGGCAACAAGTTGTTGGGTTGCTGCCCCTGAATTGGTAATTTTAAGAAAATTTTGCAGCTTTTGGTTATTATCTTGAATATTATTATAGAGATAAACTGTGAACAGCAATAATGTACAGCAAAGTAAGATCTACAAATAAGTCAACATGACCAAAATTGTCAATTGACCCCTTAAGGAGTTATTGCCCTTTATAGTCAATTTTTTACAATTTTGTAAATTTTTGTAAATTTTTACAAAATATTTTCCACTGTAACTACTGGGCCAAGTTCATTATAGATAGAGATAATTGTAAGCAGCAAGAATGTTCAGTAAAGTAAGATCTACAAACACATCACCATCACCAAAACACAATTTTGTCATGAATCCATCTGTGTCCTTTGTTTAATATGCACATAGACCAAGGTGAGCGACACAGGCTCTTTAGAGCCTCTAGTTGGTTATTATCTTGAATATTATTATAGATAGAGATAAACTGTAAACAGCAATAATGGTCAGCAAAGTAAGATCTACAAATAAGTCAACTTGACCAAAATGGTCAGTTGACCCCTTAAAGAGTTATTGCCCTTTATAGTCAATTTTTAACCATTTTTCGTAAATTTTTGTAATCTTTTACAAAATTCTTCTCCTCTGAAACTACTAAGACAAATTTAACCAAACTTGTCCACAATCATCATTAGGGTATCTAGTTTAAAAAATGTGTCTGATGACCCTGCCTGCGAACCAAGATGGCCGACATGGCTAAAAAATAGTACATAGGGTAAAATGCAGTTTTTGGCTCATATCTCTGAAACCAAAGCATTTAGAGCAAATCTGACATTGGGTATAATTGATTATAAGGTCAAGATCTATCTGCCCTGAAATTTTCAGACCAATCAGACAACATGTTGTTGGGTTGCTGCCCCTGAATTGGTAATTTTAAGAAAATTTTGCAGCTTTTGGTTATTATCTTGAATATTATTATAGATAGAGATAAACTGTAAACAGCAATAATGTACAGCAAAGTAAGGTCTACAATAAGTCAACATGACAAAAATTGTAAATTGACCCCTTAAGGAGTTATTGTCCTTTATAGTCAATTTTTTACAAATATCATAAATTTTGTAAATTTTTGTAAATTTTTACAAAATATTTTCCACTGTAACTACTGGGCCAAGTTCATTATAGATAGAGATAATTGTAAGCAGTAAGAATGTTCAGTAAAGTAAGATCTACAAACACATCACCATCACCAAAACACAATTTTGTCATGAATCCATCTGTGTCCTTTGTTTAATATGCACATAGACCAAGGTGAGCGACACAGGCTCTTTAGAGCCTCTAGTTGGTTATTATCTTGAATATTATTATAGATAGAGATAAACTGTAAACAGCAATAATGGTCAGCAAAGTAAGATCTACAAATAAGTCAACTTGACCAAAATGGTCAGTTGACCCCTTAAAGAGTTATTGCCCTTTATAGTCAATTTTTAACCATTTTTCGTAAATTTTTGTAATCTTTTACAAAATTCTTCTCCTCTGAAACTACTAAGACAAATTTAACCAAACTTGTCCACAATCATCATTAGGGTATCTAGTTTAAAAAATGTGTCTGATGACCCTGCCTGCGAACCAAGATGGCCGACATGGCTAAAAAATAGTACATAGGGTAAAATGCAGTTTTTGGCTCATATCTCTGAAACCAAAGCATTTAGAGCAAATCTGACATTGGGTATAAT